TGAAGGCCCAGCGGCAGATCGAGCTGGGAGACAGCGAGGTGCACCCAGGTGAGGGGCTGGGCTGCGGACGGATGCCTGGGGGGCAACCAGAACTCCCCAGTGGTATGTGGGCATCCCCAGCCCCTCACCCGCTCCCCTCTCCCCTCAGTCACAGCCTCCAAGCCTTCCTCCACCTGGCTACTCATGCGGCGCATCCAGGCCGAGTCTGGCACCCGGGGGCTGTTTGCAGGTAAGGTCGTGCCCCCTGCCCCGGGCTGGGGTTTACTGGTGCTCTGGTGTCACCGAGGGGCTAACGGGGTTGTCCTTGCAGGCTTCCTGCCCCGTGTCATTAAGGTGGCACCTGCCTGTGCCATCATGATCAGCACCTACGAATTTGGCAAGACCTTTTTCCAGAAGCTGAACCAGGAGCGGCGGCTGCGCGGGTTGTGAGCTGGGGCTGAGGCAGGGCTGGGTGCGGCCGGTGCCCCGGGGGACGCTGCCAACCCTGCTCCCGGCGAGGCAACCCGGGGGCCGGAAACCGCACCCGGCTCAGCAAACCGCACTCGGCTGTGCAAAGCCCAAGTGCCTTCGTGCTGCGCTCTGCCTCCCTGCTGCCTGCGCACAGAGGAAGGGCCAGCCCGGCCCTGCTCTCCATCCCAGCTGCACTGGGAGACATCTGTGCCTGCTGCTGTGACGCTGGGGGGGATGTGGAGTTCCCTGTGCTCATCCCTTGAGGTTGGACAGATGCTGCTGCTGGATTCACGGACGCTCTGCCCCGGGAGACTTGGCAAGGCAAGAGATGGGGCTCTGGCGAGGACCAAACCCTCGGGGGCTTCTCTGTGTGCCTGCCTAGGCCCCCCAGCCCTGCTCCGGCCAGGAGTCTGCCCCTCCTCGCCATCAGTCACGCACAGCGTCCCCTTGCCGGCTCTGCGTGGCACGGGGACGTATCAGGACCACCCTCTCCTTGCCTCTGGACCTCTCCTCCTGCTCAGGGTGTCCCTGTCCCCTGGCAGACCCTGGGCTTGGACTCTCTGTAGGGACAGACCTCGCTGCTGCTCCGGGGGGGCCGGCAGGCATTCTGGCAACAAACCTCTGCCTGTGCCCCATCCCTTCACCGCGAGGGCCTGCCCCAGCATTGTGCCCGGTGTGGGTGCTGCCCCAGCTTGCCCCGGGACTCCAGGGGGGAATTTCTCTTATTTTCTTAAATAAAAGAAATTATTTGTCTCTTAGGGCAAGGATTTCTTTCCTTGCTCCCTGCATGCTGGGGCTGTGGAAGGCATCCCCACAGGTGACAGCCATGTCCCTGCTGCATGGGCACAGTGCTGTCATCCACCAGGTCCTTGCTGGGTTTTTACTGGGGGTAAGGAGACCCCAGGACCTCCCTGCTACCCCCAGCAGCAACCCCCTGTGGATGGGGCAGGAGGTACCCCATGCTTGGGTGACTTGCTGTGTCCCAAAGGTGCTGTCCCTGCCCTGGTGGTCTGGGGTGGGGGAGCTGGAGGAGGCTCACTGCCCCCTTTCCCCCCCCTCCCAGCATCCCTGCTTGGGTACAGGACCC